AACTGGCCGACTCCTCTGAGGGCAGCGTGTTGCAGTGCGTGACTTGGGGCTTTAGAATAATTTTTGCAAGGTTGCTATAGGGAAATAGAGAGCATTGTATTTTGTTCTTGTCGGAGGATTAATTTGTCTGAAAATGTCCACAGTGTGACAGGAAGCAAAAAGAGGGCTGCTGATGGGTTGCTTTGGCTTAGCTGATAAGTCAAAAACAGTCAAAATAACACGAGAGCTAAAAATAGTATGTTTTGCTGGGTAAACAGAAGGATTCTGCTCTTCTAACCCCACGCAAGTCAGGAGAGATGGCTGAAATGAAGCAGTAATTTATGCTAAGTGGAATTCCAGCAATTTTTCACATTGCCAATGAAATCTTTAGGGTACAATGAGCTGATTTGCAGCGGTGCCAACACTTCCCTCGTCTTTGATCAAGACGGGCCTGTATGATCTGATGGCCGCAGCCCCCGCTACAAACCTCCCTGGAAACGCAGCCGTTGGTGCCTCTCGTGCGGGACGGGGATGGTCCGATCCTGCCTGCGTGCTCGGCCCGTCCGCGGCCTTCACGCGCGTCTTTGCCACAGCCAGGTCTGCTCTGAGGGGGATCCCCGAGGAAGGAGCGCTACGGGGCAAGGAATGGGGCAAGGAATGGGGCAATTGGAGTTTACAACGGACCGATCTGCTTTACAGAGCACGGAAAGGAGGTTTTCAGCGTCTCCCCACCTGCCGACAGCACCAAATAAAACTCCACTACAGATAATGGAACTTATATTTATTTAACAGTAACATACGGTATATAAATAGGGTAAATACTTTAAAATATACAATATATCACATTCGGACATTCGGTCAAAGAAAGGCAACTCTACATGTGTAGCTAAAACATTAATCAAAAGAACGATGCACAGAGGAAGAAGCAGATGGTAGAAACACATCAGGTCTGGAGACCAGGGGCACACAAAGATTACAGCAGTACAAAATGCAACTCCGGGGCCGGTTACAGAGGGCAGGAACCACAGGAGCTTTCAAGCGATGCTTTTTGTGGCAAACGCCTGTCCCCAGGAGGGGCCGGACGGGCCGGACGGGTGCTTTCGACACAGCTCTGCCCTCCTCACATTGTGCAAAGCTGGTCAGAGGAGGCGGAGGAAGGAAGAGATGCCAGGATCCCACCGCAACCATGGCCGGGGGAACAGGAGACATACCTTGGAGTATAAGATACCGGCATTTCACAGCCTGGTGCCAAGTGTTAGCTCATGCTACGGGATTCCCAGCTTCATGAGCTGCACAGGGTACCATACACCCCAGGCAACGGCTGCCCCTTCAGATCAGTGTCAGCAGACTTCTGACCCCATCACCCTGAAGAATAGCTAAGTGATACCTGCTGATCGTCACCCGACATGACACCGTATGCAGAAACCAGGTTTTGATGTTTTGCTGAGCACAGTCTGGCCGTGCATCCCATCCGCAAACTAATTTGGGCTACAACCAGACTCGGAGAAGCAAATTCCTATCAGAGCATGCCAAGTGCTCATCTACACAGGCCTAGCCCAGCCGTGCCTGCTCAGGCTCGGGATCAAACCAGCATCCGACCCGTATCGCTAAATCGCCCACCAGCAAACAAAAGCCATGAATGTTTGGTCACCTCACCAGGACAGCCAGCTTCTCACGCTACGCAAAGCAGCTTTCTAGCCACGTGCCATCCCTTTGCTCATGAAATACGCCCACGTCCCTCTCTGTCCACTCCAGCTGGAAAAGCAGTGACTGCTCGTGAAGAGGTGGTGTCCACACCAGCCTGTCCCCTGCCAGGCAGCTGTAACACCCTCATAAGCTTCACATTGGCCAAATCCTACTTTTCTCTTCCAAGCTGATACAGTACCTTCCCCCTTGCTGGTCCGCTCTCACAGTTATTTCCCTCTTGCTGGGCACAAGCAGGAGGAACTTCCCCGGTCGTGGAGCCCACTGTGAACAAAAACTACTGTGCAGTGTTGAGCTGGAGCTCTGCAGCTGGCAAAACCTCACGTGAGCATCCCTGCATCGCCTTACCTAGGCATCCCTGGTGTCAGCTTGGCCTCTCCAGCAGCGCTAGCTACGTCAGCCCCCCTCCAAACCTAAATTCTTGTGAGAGCTGCAGCATGACCAAGGTCCTGCAAGGCTCAATGCAATGATAAGAGGTGCAACGTGTCTTGCCACATGTCCCTTGGCACCACAGTTAACTCCTTTAGGGACAGCCAGAGCTGGTAACGTCAGCTTTTCATTTCCTCTAACTTTCTAAGTCTAACCTGAAATACCTACCACAAACTAAAGCCACTCACAGGCTGGGCTGATGGGGAAAACCCACCAAGCGCTCCCCAGACAGCATGCTGTCGCTAATTGCTGAGTAGTACTATCACGTATGTTCATAGCAGCGGTGTAGAAGTGGGTCTGCCAGCCACAGCTCTCAGCCCGACGGAGGACATGCTACGGTGCTCACCAGTATTTCTCAGTAAGATTAGCTGTACAGCTTGCAAATAATCTTAACAACCTCCATCTCCCTCCCTTCCTCCTCCACTTCTCCAACGGATGTGCTGTTCCCATTCAGTTTACTAAACTTCAGTGCAGGATGCTAAAACCCTTTCCACGTAGCTTTACCCTTCAGGACCAAAACAGGCTTGGAAGGCCACCCTTTAACTGCACCGCTGGGAAGGAAGCAAGAATACAGCTGCGAGCTCATCAGGAAAGCCACCCGCACGCATTCGTGCTGCTGCTTCTCTCCCAGCCCCAGGAAGCCACTAAACGCAGCTGCTTTGCCCTCCCGTGTCCACATCCAGCACTACAGCCTGCAAAAGGCCCAAACGCTACTTCAAATCAAAAGCACGCAGAAAAGCTTCGCGTTCGGTTTTTGCCCCGCTAATTACAACTAAAGAGGTACAAAAGGTTTAAAGCAAGATGAGCAGGAGACTAAAGACCCATATGAAAAAATTCTTAATAGGAAGAGCAGTACACTTTTGTAATATTTATCAACACTATAGCTTCTTCTGATGACCCAACAGTGCACTACGAGGGATTTTGGCAGATGTTGGCAACGGGCAGGGAGAATCCAGAAAAGCACCAGCTTGTCTGAGCCCACAAGGCAAACTACTTTTCCAGGACTACACAAAAGCCTGTCACTTCCACACCTACTCCCAGCCTGGGTACTCCTTGCAGGTGCCCTCACTTTGCCTAGCTAAACTCAGGCAAATTGTCATGAAACGCAGACAAACATCTCCCTGGGCACCTTAATTCTCCCCTCCAATTTGCAAATTAGGGGCTCGGACCAATATCCTCTAAGTAGACAGAAAATAAATCCCTGCCTAATTCAGGCTGGAAGGCAACAGTCTGACAACTTGTGCAGGAAAGCCTCTGTGTACGCCACTGGCATTAACCAAACGCAATCCTGAACTGGCTCCATCGTATGCTGGAAATGCTTCGTGGAAACAGGCCTTTCTTCTCCGCAATCTGCTTTTGATCTACCTGTATTTGCAGTACAACGGGCACAAACTTCTGCCCTGTGGTTCCTGTTGAGGGAGATGAAGCAGAGCTTACCGCACAGGAGTCCTATAGAAAGGTAAGAGAGGTTGGTAGCTGTTAATGTATTTACACGCGCTTTCTCCTCTCTCGCTCACTCAGGGTAAATGAAAGCAATGGCAGAATCAGAATACGGACTATGAACTAGGAAGTATTTTCAGGTGTTTTATTTTCCGTCGATGCTCAGCTAGCTTGCAGCATGTGCATGTCTCCGTATGGGGGGGAGTCTGTGTATAAGGTTTATGTCAGCAATTGTTTGAAAACAGCAATGTACTTCTGTATTATCTTTCCCTGTCACTTGTTCCCCAGGTTAAAATAAGGTAAAGTTTCTCTCTCCCATGCACAAACTATGGAAAGAAGTAAAATCAGAGTCACCTTGTGTTTGGGAACATTGCATAAGGTGTAAATCGGGGATCTTTTCACTATCTGATCACAAAAAAAAAAAAAAAGTTTTACAATCTTTAGGGCTCTCATTTTTAAATAATAAAAAAGTATGACAAAATAAAGGAAGGTACTTAGATATAACTTGCAACTATTAAGTACAAACTATATATGGCAAGATTTAGTAAGCAAAGCAGGACAGAAGCCTGCAGGTAAATGAACCCAGACTGAAATGCAACACAGACCGTGATAAACTCAGCAGCACGACATCTAGAACTCAAGTAACAAACAGGTGATAGATATGATCCCTGAAAGAAAAACAGAAGACCCAGCTGGCAGCACCAGCGGGGTGCTGGAGCCCCAACCAGCAAACTTCAGAAAAAAAACCAAGTTGGAAACTGCTGTCCAAATCAGTTAAAATATCCCAGTGCGGGGTTTCCAACCATGGAGAAATGAGAAAGTGTGGTTCGGTGTTTCTTAAAGGTTATTTATGGGGGAAAAATGAATCAAGTTACTTAAAGGGTTGTTCTTACTTGGCAGGAATTACTCAATGAAACTTCAATGTTCTTTAAAACCTATTTACTTGATTCGGTTTTGAAGCAATTTGAACCTCCCACATTCCCACAAGCAACTACCGGTTTCTTGACTCCTTGTCCCCAGTCTATTTCTGGTTTAATTGGTTATAAAAGTCTCATTTGCCAAAGTATCAGCCATACGGGGGAATGTGAGAGGCACTGCAAAAAAACAGCAAGTGAAAATAGATGCACGTGCCTGGCTGGGCAGAGGAAACATGGCTGGATTAGAACAAGATCCTCTTCCAATCAACGGAGCCTTGTGCTCGCCGTGCAGTCTGCAGGGAGACTGCACGCAGGCATAAACGAGGCTTTCTAGGAAAATTAACGTTGCATTCACAGTTACCACTGGAGAAAATCACGGTCCCCAGAGTTGCCATCGTGAACGCAGCCTGGCACAACGGCCGGGGAGCTGCACAGCTTCACCTTCCCTGCTGGCTCCCAGGCGCAGAGGCGGCTGTACGGACAACGCTTTGTGTATTCCCTGCATAAACACACTCACGGGAAAAGTTCAGCTCTGCCCACATGCATCGAAGGTTAAGAACAGCCCACGGGGACAGTCGTACCCTCCTACTTCACCCAACAGTCCTTCCAAGCCTTAACTCCTTTTCAGCTACGAAGCCAAGATTTGCTCATTTGAACCCAAGCTATATAAATATATTATTAAAAAAACCCACAAATGCAAACATTTACCAAGAAAGGAAGAAAAGTTACAGTGAAATGAGGCCTTGTTATTGTCTTAAATCAGGCAAGCCAGGAATTTCCTCGAGGAGGCTTGTCTGTTTGCAGTCCCGTTCCAATCGCCCGGCTGTCTATGCCTCCTCCAAACTACCTAACATACCCTTGTCAACAAGGTGTGCTTTTAGCGTGTTGAAGATGTGGAGCTGCTGGTCTGGCCGCAACGTTAAGAATTGCTGGATCAGTTTGCTTGGGTTAGGACCTCTGAAACACAAAAGCATCATTATTAATGAGTCACATTGCTCAGTCTCAGTGATCTGGGAACCCAAGTGCGATTTCATCAAAATAATAGGCTTAAAGTAAGAGCCATGTTGCCCATTCCTTCACCAGTCCTACCCAGGAAGCGTAACTCCCTTTGAGATGTGGAAATGGATTCAAAAGGCACAGGATGCTGCACTGTAAACAAAAAACCCACCCCAAACCCAATCGGTTTCCAGAGAGTTGTGCATCTTCCCTTATCAGCAGATGCTCCCCCTCAAAAATCAAAGCAGCCACATAAAGACAGTTCCTCAGCTCCTTCAGTACATCTTCTATGCGCCTACAGGCTTTATTCTGTGCTTGGCTACAGAATATTTGTTTATGCTATAAAATTAGATTTTTCTGCTCGTTCAACTCTGGAAACCTAGCTCAAGATTCACAGGGGTGCAGGATGGACATGGAGCAGTTTCATAGGGACTGGAATAACAGACCTTGGGCAACGGGGGTTGTGCTTCCAGCCCTGCATGACCCTGCTAAAAGATGCTGCCCTTCTTCAAGCCTCCATTTCCTCTCTTTCTTTGTCTTGGTATATTTAGACGTTCATCTAACAGGGTTAGTTAACAACTGTCTCTTATTACAAGCCTGTATGTCACTTGAGTTTGACAGGGCCCCCAAACTTCACCGCAAAGCAAAAAATACCTGATAAAACTTGCGATGTACACGTTAACAAAGGTAGCCATCAGGTACTGACAGTCAAAGCGGTCCATGATACCTCCGTGCCCTGGGATTGTGTTGGCAAAGTCCTGTGCCAAGCAGAAGGGATTGTATTTAGCAGTCTCAAATGCCCATTACCTGTACTTGCTTATGTACCTCTACGCACCACACTCATATGCTTGCTCTAATTCTTCCCAGAAGGCAAAAGTCAGACTAAGAAGACATTTCATTTAATCTCTCCCTGGTTTTAAAAGTTACTCCTTTATGAAGACTACCAGTGCCTGAGGGACATCAAGGCTTAACTCAAGATCTGTCACTCAAAAGGTCAAGGAAGGCTAATGTTTATCTCTTGCAATGCTGTCTTGCCTTTCAAGGCTTCTTAACCGAACACATAAAACCAGCCTGCAAAACATCAAGGGAAGCCTCAGATTGCAAAATTTCCTGACTGGGTCTTTCTTCCTCTACCTCAAGTTCTGCACCAAAGCAGGGTTTAGAATATCACAGTTGAAATTTTAATGTCTCTCCCCATTCAGTCAAAAAACCTAGATCCCACCCCAGCATTTTATCTGTGACTGAAGAAACCTTCCCTCCCTTCCCAAAGCTCACAGCCTGCCACTCCTTGGAGCACAGGGACTGTTTAGAGTGGTAGCAACTACTTAGTCTTTCCTTTCTAAAATGTAAATTACCTTGACCATCCTCACCTTGATTTTGAAGGCCCTCTTAAATCCACTAGCAAAGAAGCCTCCGAATGGCCCAATGAGGGAGGCGAAAGTAGACAGTGCGATGCTGTGGATTTGGAAGGGGTACATCCGGACTGTCTTCTGCAGAAAGAAAAACATGTCAGAGAAGGGTTTTCAATGACAATAGCACTTTCCACCACTTGCCCCTGTTTCTGTACTCTCGAGGCTTTAGACCAGTTGGTTTTCAAGTGGGTCAATGTCCCACCAGACTTGGGACACTTTCTTTGGGCCTTCAACCAACATAGAGCACCACTAAATTCCCCCTTTTTCTGGGTGTCCCATCATCCCTTCTCATGTTCCTTCGAAGACCGTCAAAATAAAGCCCTGATCTCTTTTCTTGGTGTTCCTACCCCAATAAGATCCAATAAACAGAGAGAGTCCTACCCAGCCCACCACGGACTGCAGCACCAAGGGGATGTTGTACTCCTGTAGCTGGAACAGCTCGGATGGCTCACAGTCCACTGTGAAGCTGTTGGTGTCGTTGTTGAACTCCACTGGACAGGTGAAGCACCGGTACCCGGACATTACGTAGGACAGCTTCAAGGAGAGAGAAAAAGAGATGTGGCAAGAGAAAGCAGGATTAGTACTTTCCTGAGCGATGTGGCAGAGCCAGTCTCAAGGGAAAAGGCCACTCAAGGAGACACAGTGAGAAGGGAGCCACACTCCCAGCTTCATTAAGAAGATTACTCTCCTGAGAAGCAGTAATTGGCTAAAGGCAGAGTAAGAATTTTCATTTAGTAAGTGCATCTGTTCAGCAAGCAGTGATCAGAGCCCTGCATGAACAGGCTGAGACAGGCTGCACCACTTGGCTGAGAGGACAGAAACAACCAGACACAGAGATCATCATAAAAACGAATAAGAATATTTCGAGATCTCTGAACTCCCCTTGAAAAGGTGCACAGCATTCATCCAACAGCAGCAGGAGAAAGTTTCAAGGACAAGTATTGTAATGAGTATGTCACAGGGTCTAACAGGGCCTAAAAAATTCTTGCATCTGCAGATCTGCACACAGCACAAAGCACAGCCACGGACCAGTTCAGCTCCTGGTCAGTAAGGAAAATGTGAACTCTGACAAGAGCTAGGAGAGCTTAAAGCCCGACTGCATTTTTTTAGACAAAACTCTGTCACCCTATGAAGGGAAAAGACCAATGAAATAAGCACCATGATTGCTACTTACCAGCAGTCCAAACAAAACGGTGGCAAAAAATCCTCCAATAAAACCCTCCCAGGTCTTTTTTGGGGAGAGCTGCCAGAGAGAGAGAGAGAGGGGGAGAATTACAAACTGTACATCTCCGCACACCGCTGCGCACCTATGCAGCCTTTCTTTGCTCGTGAACTGCTGAAGCAAATAAAAATTGGTGCCAACAACCAACAGATAAGTATTTGGTCAGAACTCGACACTAACATCTTGGTCTGAAACGGTTCATTTCACTTCACAGCCTCAAAGATTGGGATACGCACCAAGTTTAATTTGGAGGCTTGCTTCAGGCACATAAAAAGCCACAAAACTGGAGATGAGGGAACACAGGACTAAGACCCAAAGAAGCCAAAATCTGTGTTTTGTCCACCAAAGTGTTACGAACCTTGATGAGTGGGGTGCGGCCAAAGAAGAACCCGAACATGTACGCCATGATGTCATTGCAGATCACACAGGAAATTGGGACGATGAACCTAGATGGGAGAAGAATCAAACCACCGGAAAGTGCCAAGATCAGACAACTCCAAGACTTAACTAGATGAGCAGTTGCTTCGTACGATGCTTGGCAGTGCCATCACATCAACATCTCCCCCTCCAATGCAACACAAGGAGCAACCGCTTGAAGCTCCTGGGGAAATGGGGGAGATTACTCATGTTCCGGACTAAAATGCAGGTCGGGTACCCAGAATGGCCTGTTTTAAGCACATTTTCTTTTGCCACACGTGACATGCTGTTAGACAGTCACCCCCTTTCCCCCCCAAAGAGGCCGCATTTTAGCTGTAAGCAGGCTGCTCCCAAAGCACTCTGGGCTGGCTGCGGCACGCAGAGGAACATGCAATCTTCAAGCGGCCAAAGGCAGTTCCTGGCCCTGCTGGTTTTGGGAAGGGCACCAAAAGGGCTTCCCCTCTGCACAGCAACTGGAGTAAGGTGGCAGGTTGCAATCTCTTTCCTTTCACAGTGCTGCTTTTACCATGATGCTGACAGCATTGCCCCAAATCAAGTGCCGAGCAGCACTTTTCCATCCATTTGCTGGATGTGGATATAAAGAGAAAGCATCTACACAGGCCTGACTCTGCCTGAAAGGTCCCTGCACCCCACAGCAATTTTCAGGTGCTTCTTTACAACAACTCTCTATACTGCTCAAGCAGCACAAAGCAAGTCCTAAGTCGCTGAGGTATCACTCAATCTTTTGCTTTTCTATTCTGAACAGGTTGGTCCCTCACAGGAAGCACCTTCTTCTTGGCCATTCATTTTTTTTTTAAAAGAACAGTTTTAACTCAAAACATGATCATTCATTTCAAGCTGCAGAAATCAAAGCAACTCAGAACACACGGCAACTCACCATATCATTCCTTCAAACAGGTTGTGAATGATGAGGTGCGACTGGGTAACAACAATTAGCAACGTCACATGGGTCCATCCAAACTGGAAGAGAAGACAGCATGCAGTCCAGCCTGCCTAGAGACCCTGCCCACACGCATCGCTGCCAGAAATCAGATGCTGTTAGCTACCTCTCAGACAGAGAGCGGCTCATGCAGATGTGCATTTCTAGCATGCACCTTCACCATGACAAACACCAAGAGTCATGAAGAGCAGGGAACAGTCACCCGCAGTAATTTATGGGCATGTTCTTCAGCTTAAGCCCAGAGGTGACCTTCATTGGGAAGACTTCTGCTGGACCAAATGCTCTTTAGCCCACCCCTATCCCACACATCTCGCTCAGCCTTCTGAGCTATATAAGAAGAGCAGAAGACCGATAGATATCCAAGCCATATCCCTGTGTGCTGAATATATTGGCAAGCAAAACTAGCTGTGTCGACGGTCAAACATGAGCAATGCCGTACTGATGTTTGGGAAAAGGGGGACATAGCCAATTAACCCTGGTGGCCATCTACCCTCAGTAGGAGAGTCAAATAGCCTTGTGCAGTCCTCTCAGCTTGCAGAAAGTTTCTTAATAGGATCCACAAGTGCAGAGAGAAGAGAATACATGTTTGCAGGGAAATTCGCTCAGAGCTGCCTTCCTAAACATACAGTCTGCTCACAGTAACTTTTCTCCCAGGCAGCGTTACAATGCACAACCAGCACAGAAGCGTCTACTGACACATATTCCTCTACACAACATTTTCAAGCAGCCTACACTATTCATTCTTCTGCCTCCAACTGGGGGCAGCCAGGCCCTGCATTAACCTTACCATATAGAACTGGAGGCGATAATGTTTCTTCACCAGACTCAAGACAAACATGCAGAAACCTGATGAGAGACAGAAGGAAAGTAAATGGTGGGAATGTATCTTCAACAGTAAGAAATACTTTTTTTCCATGACATTGCACAGCTCCTTAGGTTCTTTATTTGAGTAAAGCAGCAATGTGGAGTGGGAAAACTCACTACTTTGCAAGTCACAAAATACCTTTGCCTGCAAGTAGCACTTGGACAGATGAACAATCAAGCCTGGCTGTCCTGTACACATTAGGGAGTTTCCTTCTACAGAGCCTCACATAAGAGATTTGCCACCACTACTTTAACCATGCAGCCAAGCTACAGCACCACTGAAGAGCAGAGATAACTTGCTATGGATACTGCATTGGACACAATACCCAGGACAAGAGTAGTTCAAGGAGATTTCTTCCCTCCAGCCCAGACAAGATTAACCAACAGAAAATGTGGTCTCTACCTGTTAAGTATAGGGCGAAAGAAATGAAGCGGTGGTATTTGCTGAGAATTCGCAGGGGCTCCTCTCTCTGAACCAGGGTGAAGAAATAATCTGTCACAGTCTCACCATAGAAAAAGTAGTTTACACAGAGCAGGAAGTACCTGTGAAGGATGCAGATGCTCGTTAGCAGGAACCCTAAAAGGCTTCAGGAGAAACACAGAAAGTGACTGATCCCTAAGATCTTTACGTTGTTCTGTACACTGCAAACAGGCTATCTTCAAGTGACAGCCAGAACTTTATTTCCCCCAGTTTAGAAATGTCACCTTCATTTAAACTAGTGGCTGCATCACTCAGTTCCGCTTTGCGATGGATCACACCATCCAGGTTCGGTTTTGGCCTTCCGATGCACAAGGAATTTCTGCCTTTAGGTGGCACTCCTCAACAGGCCTCTGCGAGCCTGTGCATCCTAAAAGCACATGCTCTGTGCTTCCTGAAAGCATTGCTCATGCCCTCTCCCCAGCCCTTACGTCCCAATGTTCAGCCCTGTTTCACGATCACCTAAAACCTCCCATCCCACCCAAGCAACCATGTCCACCTCTAAGTGGTGATGCCTGTCAATGCTGTCCCTTGCACAGATCGTGGGATTCAAATCTCCACACTTCATTAACAACAGGACAAAGTTTATCAATACGGGCTCAATACAGGCTCAAGATATTGATCTATCAAGATTTGGGGAGGCTTTTCCTTTACGAGAGCTGCTAACACGTGACACTGGTCAACGCACAGCAATCCCCTGGTCTCTGGTTTGGAGGCAGGCAGATGATCCCCTTGCTGCCTGTCTGCAATGAGATGAAGCGTTATTGCTGCACACAAGTCTGGGGAGGGGAGCAGCCCCCTTACTCACCAGCTGAGCGTCCTGAACCACGGCAAGTCATAGGAGTGGTACACGTTATAGCCAATAGTGATAATCTCATGGAAACATTTGATCTGGACACACATCACCTGCACAAAAAGACATCCGGAAGCTGTAATACATGTTGGTTAAACACCTCTTTCCTCAAGGAGATAAAAAACACACGTGGGCAGAGCAAAAGGTACTTAAGCAGTCGCTATCAGTCTGGCAGGAGCCTCCTAGTCCAACATGGGAAGCACACCATGTTTTGCCCTCCCCTTTCCTCTGCAGGAGGTTTCTAACAACCCCTTGCATTAGTTTCAATTGCAGCCAAATGCTGATGGCCAGGGCAGGTGGTCAGCGATTCCTTCCAGGTTTCCTCCATGGAGAGGGAAATCCCGCAAGGTGAATAAGGACCTCTAAAATATGAGGCTGTGAGCTGCCCACCCTAGCAATGGTCTCAGCAACCTCCCCCCCATCGCTGTGAACGTCAGGACATCTCTCTGGAGCACTTACTATCGTCATTAAGACCATGGGTCCCAAGTAGATGATGATGAAGAAGAAAGTGATCATTGCCAGCGTGAGGATGCCTCTTACCCACCAATTCTTCCATCTAGGCCATAGAGAAGGAAAGATAGTTAAAGTCAAAGTAAGGAAGCACGACAGCAATTCTGCTCTCTGCACATCACAGGAAGGAAACTGAGCCTGGAAACCCCAAGTTCCCTTTCAGTGCTGCAGAGAGACCTTGATCCACTGATGAAGGCCTGGTAGCAGCAGATGCAAAGCTACAGCTCAGCTCAGTCTTCCCCGCTCTGAACTTCACCAAATGCAGAAAGCATTAGCCAGGTGCAGAGCATCTCCAAGGGCACTGACACAGGACAGGAGAGCATCTGTTCCTGTTCTGCTACAGGTTTCCCACGCCTTGGATAAGCTGCATGATAAGTTCAAATAAAATGGGGACCATTACCCCTCTCTGCACTCCTTTTCAAGAGGAGACATGGGCCCTGGCATGTTGCACCCTCGCTACTCTCCAACAGATCCTGCCTTGAGCCTCTCCCATCCTCACAGCACACCCAGGAGAGACACTTTTTCCCGTGACAGGAATAAGATGCTTTTCCCCCAAAGCAGTCTTTAGAGAGCATTCCTGGTTTGTTCTTAAATCTTGTCCTTATCAGCATGCTTTTCTTATGCATTCCTGCAGAAGTCGGTCACACTAGTGGTTAAAAACCATCGCAGTTGGTTTTCTTTGCTGAAACTGCTGTCAAAGCTAAATGCAACTGTCTTCTGCCCCACCCAGGCCTCTTTTCACCTGCAGCGACCAAGCACCCAGCGAGGCGGCCCTCCAGCAGCACTCCTCTCCCACGCACAAGCAGCCCTGAGCGCTGCACCCTGCTCTCCCCGCTAGCAGAGTCATCTTCTGTTTCCTGTGGCCTCAGGTGCACCTTCCTGCTTGCACACCAGGGAGGGAGAGCGCAGCGCTTCTGAGAGCTGCTTACTCAGCTTCCAGCCGCCACGCCGGGGCTGGGAAAGCTGCGGTGGAGATGCAGGGGCCCTGGCAGCAGAGGGTAGAGATGCTCAGTGAGTGCTACCTTGAGGACAGGTTGGAGAGAGCTCTGTTCAGGACCTCCGGAGTGTCATCTGATGTCGGCACCGGGAGGGATCCTCCAAATTCAGATTTGCTTTCGCTGTCTGATGCTGTCTCTCCATCCAGCTTGTTCTCAGACTCTGACTCCTGCAAGTAAAAGAGAGACAAAGAGCTTTACTAAACACAGTGCTGGCCCTCTTTTAAGAAACTCGGACCAGCCCACTGGATGCAACACCTACCACCGCTCTGCCTCTGCATAAATGAGAGAAAGAGGAGAAGAAAATATTCTGGGTATTCCATGGGGTTATACCCATGAGAAACAACATCAAGTGTTTTAGGTGACATACGCGATGGGGTTTACTCTCTATCAGTCTCACCAGCAGCTACAGAAAAGGTCCTGTTCCCTCCGAACATTTAAAGACGCCTCGCAGCTGACTAATAAGTATCTCCAAGTGCAGCAAGTGCTTAAGGGATACAGGCTTGTTAGCAGGAATTTTTACAAGGTCTCCCAATCCCCAGGCAGATCTCCAAGTATGCAACATTGCCCAAATTAGACAGAAAGAAAGGCCTCCAAGTAGACAGGCTCAAGGCTTCCAGACAGACTTTTCAAGTGCTGACTTTACATGCGGGCACTAAAAATAACACCGAGCCCATCCCCAAATAGCTGAAGAGGAAGAGCATGGCTTATCGCTCAGGCCCAGCCATCCTCTCTGGCCACAGAAGAAACCTGGTGTACTGGAAAGATAATACATGTGCCTTCCCCGCCCCTTGTACTGCCCCAGCACTTAGCTCAGAGCAAAGTCTTGTATTTAGAGGGTGAATAAATACAGGCAAGGCGGGAGGTTACTGAAGGCTCTGCAACAGGCCGGTGGTGGAAAAAGGATTACAAATGACCGCCTGGCTCCCAGGCAGTCCCATGCCCTCTCCCCAGCAGCAGTTTTTCCTCCAGTGCAGCTCCTGCATAGAGAACGAATCCAAACTTCTACGTTTTGCCCCCCATTTCAGCGGCAGAGCTTCATCCTTCTCCTCAGCCCTTGAAGCAAGGAAGGAAAATGCCACTCCCTGGGGAGCGCTCGCGCATCAGGCAAGGCAGAGTCCGTGCATTTGGCCTCAGACCATGGGCTATTTTAAAACTCCCGGAAAAGAGAGCGTGTTTGCAGGAAAAGCAAGGAGGGAGCCAAGCTGACAGACGCTGGGAGCTCTGCAAACAAAGCGACTTCATCCCTTTGGGCTCCCAGGCAGCGCTGCCCCGGGCTCGGAGAGGGGGGACCCCCACCAAAACAAGCACCCGCTGGGACTGGTTTGGTGTAACCAAATCGAGGGGTATTTGTAGTTCACTGGAGCAGTAAGACTCAAGCAGTTCCCTTATTTAAGGCAGGAAAAGATAATTACTCCCCAAGCTGTGATGTATCAATGGCTGCAGGCCAGATTCTTAAACAGACAAGGACAGCTACTGTCAGGTGGGGCAGCTAAAAATACGACGGTGTTGTTGGAGATCTCTTCCGGGCACGAGCAAAGCACCGGCCACCGCACCAGTCGCCCCCTGCATCACCTCTTCCTCGCCTTGCTCCATGCTCGCTTCTTTCCATTCCCATCGACTGGGAAGGAGGAGGAAAGCAAAACCAAACACTTCTGCCAGCACTCACATGGGTTTGGAGAGCCGGCAAAGAAACGCAACTTGGCTCTTTCTTCAGCTGTTTTTTAACTGACCTGTAAAATCCACTTGTCCCTCGGACTTCCGAGAGATTACGTGCCATTCAGCTGGGAACACACAAAAGACCAAATCCATAAGGCAGCTGCAAATGGCAGCAGGCAAAAAGACTGGAAATGGTAGAACTGCCGGAAGACCATGAATATGGCATCCGATAGCACAGCACAGGTCAGGGGCCCTGTTCTTGAGCAGGTTTGGAAATCAGTGCAGTGTATTTAGCTACAGTCTGCGTTTCCCATTGCAATGCTTTCTCTATGCTTTCTCCAGGAAAAGGCTTCTCTGCAGAATGCCCCTGCGAGCAATATAAATAACAGAGAAAAGCCTCAGCTCCAGCCTGACCAACCTCAGTTTCTCCTTCTGGTCTTCTAGGTTACGTTTAGGAAATGGGGGCTTTGCTTCTCTTGTTGCACATTTCTAAAAAAGGAAAATTAACGTGACTGATTCAAATCAAATGGGCAAGGAAGTGCTTAAATACTTAGGGCAACCACCATCATCTGTATAGGATAAAACCAAAAACCTTAAGGAGAATTTGTAATGCATCATCTCGTGCACGTCCCAGGCTTGCCAGCCACGCAATAAAAGGACTAAGCATTGAAACAAGGAAGCAGATCCAAGCCAGCATCCCTGCATTTTATTCCCCAAAGCACTAACATTGCAGGGCTAAGTGCAAAGCAGGCAAATTATTCCTTGCCTGTAGCCCAGAGGATCAGAAGTTTCGCAAAGTGCTCAGAGACGAAAAGAAAGGGAAAGAGCGCTGATGCCCTCCTCCCTCCCGCTCCTGGCCAAGAACATGAAGGATGAAAGCAACTGCGTAGCTCAAGAGACGGGAATTTGGTGTTGCAACTGGGCTAATCTAACAGCTGCTGGAACGGGTGGTCCCGATCTTTGCCACAGCCCAGCCAATGATTTCTTGCACCGACACCGACGTTGCAGCTAAGTTGACGTAAAGCACATCACCAATTACCCGATGCACCCATTTCAGCGCAACGCCAAACCAAACCTCGTGCTGCAAAGTGTTTTGGGCTCCAAGAGCAGGAGCAAAGCCTCACTGGATCAGTCCAACGGCGCACGTATCCCGCTGCTCCCCACCTTATCCTCAGCAGCGGGAGTGGGAGAGGTTGTGCAACAGACGCGCAATACCCACAGCTCCAACAAACACTGCCAGGTTATTTCCAGAGAGTACAAAGGGAATCAAGAGGTTTGTCAAGATAAAGGGAAGTTGTTAGGGTTCAACGTTAAATGTAGGACTCATTCCTGCCACGTGTCTTGCTTGCTCAATTTAAGCCTGATGGGACGTGGAAGAAAACATTTTCCCTGATGGCAGAAATCGCCAGTCAAAGTGAGGGCAGAAAATACATTTTAATGTCTTCATTTTGAAAACAACTGAGCAGCGTCGGGAATCAGCTCTTCTCCCTACTTAGATCTCTCTCTGAAATGGAGTGTTGAGATTATATAGGACATTGTGCCAGATATAGGCTATGGAGAAGACTCAGTAATTGACACTATTTTTATACCTTCTATGCAATTGCAACCATCAGCCTACAAATCACCAGTTTAAGCAGCTGAGCGGGGTGCTAAATAACTTGTTTAAGCCTGAGCGTGATGCACCCTGTCTGGGCTACTTAATCCAGCTGTGGCATTGCCTTGGTAACACCCTCCCGCACGTTTCCGCCTCTATCTCGCTAGTCCTCCAAGCGAGCCAGACAGATCCCCGTCCCCGAAGGATAATCATCAGATAGCAACGCTTTCCGCAAAGCAGCTTGCAGCAGCAAGCACGGAGTGCAAACCGGCACAGACGACAGCGAGTGATGCTCACCGAGGGCTATCGCCGGTGGAAATTTAAGCTCATTACAGAGTCAGTGCTTCTGCAAAGAGCTTGTGACTGCGAGGGGCAGGTTTGGGCTGTGTTAAGCCACAGAGGGCAAACAGAGCGTCCCGCGATGCCGGTACAAACAGCGTTTCAGGGAAGCTGGGTCTAATAGATGGTATTGTGTCACCAGTTCTGCTGCTCCCCTAAGAAACACCAGGTTTCCGATGCCTCTTCTGTGCTGTTTTCTCCTATTTCTGCCCTTGAAACAAAAGCCTGGAAGAGACTCACACTTGCAGCAAGTTAACCCAGAAATGATGAATTGTCTCCTTTCCCGGGCACTGGACCAAACTCTCTCCTTTACCCTTCCACGGAGCTTTTCTCTACCTTTCTTTGGTTGTTGTTTACATTCTTCCTAAAATCGAAGCTATTTAGCCACAGGCTGATCCTCACATACATCTGATCATGCCTGAACCAACTATCACTCGGAGGCAGCAACTAACACAGCACGACGCCGGTACTGACACCGGTACCTAAAAGCTTCCACCTTGCACCAGGGTCTCACTGAACCAGGTGCTGCCCAGACAAATGAAAACGCAGCCCTGTCACCTTTCAGCCATCCCACCACTCTCCCCTGGCACTCCGGCACTGGGACGTAGCTGTCTCCAGCTGTATTTATTCCATATTCTCTTACCACACCCCTCTCCCACCCATGTTTCCTGTTAGCTCAGCCCTTGATATTCCCTCTGGCTCTCTCCTCCCAGGCAGAAGCAGGGCAGAGCACTCAGTGCGAACGTGTGCTGGGATGGTAGAAGTCTACGTGCGTGATGCAGAGCCGGGAAACAACTAAAACCCCTTAGTAAGAGCAAAGCAAACTTTCCCTCCAGTTACCTTGGAATCTGGCTTTATTTTTCCATTTCTTTTACAGGGTAAGCATTAAGTCTATTAAAACACAATCAGATGCAGTAGCTTTTACTGCCTTTTGTTACCAACATGGAGTTGTTAAATTGAAGGGCTCTTTTTTGTGCAAATCTTCCTGGCCAGCGCCGCAGGCAAGCCCAGTGCTCCTTCTTCAATTTATCATCTCAATATCGAACGCTTCTTAAAGAATCAAGGGAATAAGTAATGCAGGAATAAAATCAAGATAGCAATGTACATTTTATCCTCACTCATTCATTTCTACACAAGTCATAGTAAGAAGAAAGAGTAAAACCCACAGATGTCTGTGAGGGCTGTTTCTCCTGACTGATGAACTGGAGCAGACGGAGGAAAAAAGCCAGATACCTACTTGCTTGTTGTATTTTTGAAATCAGTAGATCTAAGCAACATTTGTGAACAAATATTTTATCACCCTAAAGAGAGATACACAGAGAAATGAGTTGTCTTAGCTTTCTTTAAAAAACTTAACTCCTGCAAGCATGCGGTAAGAAATTTGTGCTCACGCTTTAAATGGCCTTCTCGCACAGGAAGCTGTGAGCGCTCGGGTTTTTTGCCCAAATATCCATGACATGATCTCAGTTGTCATAGAAACAAGTCAGCTATCTCCCTGCCAAAAATTTTCTGCCCAATACAGAGATACAGTTAAGTATTCAATACCGGTAGATTAAATTAGTTCAAGAAATCCCATTA